ACCTGTTTTTACTACAATATTACGCATTTCAATACAAAATAAAAGTGGATTTAAAAAGACCTAATGCCCGAGAACTCATTACCCTTTAGCAGCAGATTATTAGCCAAATGGCGCCTGGACTACTATTTAAGATAAATTTTACTACGCTTGGAAAAATATCTAAGTGCCCTTTGGACAAAATTAAGCTCTTCTTAAATATACAAACCCTAACTAAAGATAAACATATCTCTGTAAGTGCAGCTTTTAACATATTTTTTCAGAACAGCCTTATTATTAAATATTGCATTATATTTTTCGTTTAGTAGTCGCTGGATTTATGTACAGCTAAAATGTTTGAGAATAAAAACGGTGAACAGAGTGCCTGAGCCCAAGTGGTAAATCAAATTGAAAGAAATATTTCACTTTTACACCAATGTATGTAAAGAAGTTGAGGAATTATTTATTATATCGAAAATTAAATTATGTCTAAAACATATTCGCATATTCCCCACATAAATTGAGAGAAAAAACTGACTTGCATATTTTATAAGGATAAGCTCAAGGGGACTTGCGTGATTAATGATGTTTGGAGGAGAGGAAGAAGTACGTCTTGTGCTGTATCTAATAAATGGCAGCACCTGCGAATGGGTTTATAAAATGCATTTGACAAGACAGGTGGCGCGATTTCTACGAATCGAACTGCACATAAAAGCAACGCTGCGGATACTTGAGAGTCGGAAAAATAGCCCCATTTACCTCATTTTCTCTCGATTTTGTAATCAACATTATTTTGCACCCATGATCAAAAGCACCCGCCGCCGTCAGCTCGTTACATATACTATATAATGTATATTCTACTTATAATAGCTATGTAATTGATGGCGCACACGCCGGCAAATCAAACTCGTTTGAGTGTCCAGCACACACACACACACACTTACAAATGCATAGATACTAGTAGTGAGTCTGTGTGAGTATAATTAATGAAGCTGTATTAAATTACGAGCGTTTATTGAAATAACCGGCACACACGACAATATTGCGAATGATGCCTTTAATTCAGTTTGTGAAAGTTTTGCGCAGACTTGTCTAAGCATTGCCATAGCCTGCCGGAAAAGTTTCTCCTGTCCTGCCATGGCTATTTGCATCCTTTATGTGTATTTGTTTAATGTGTGCTGAAAAAAAGATTTACGTGCTTAACACTCTCTAGCTAATGGCACTTAATTCGATTTAACTGGAAAAGGCACAACGGTTGCTGGCAATACAAAATCTAGCAAATCTAACACTTACAGAAAGAAGGAATCAATACAAACAAGGGCGTGGGCAGAGGGGGAGATGACCCCCCCCCCAACCCCCCCCCCCTCCAATTCAGATCCATTTTAAGGCGAAATAGTGCGTCATAATAATGAACGTGTGGTCGATTTTATATAGCCCCCCCCCCCCCCCCCCCCCCCCCCCCCCCCCCTGCCTACGCCCTTGTATATATATAGTCGTATATGGGCTAGATGGTTGCAGAGTTTGCTTACAGTAGCAAATAAACAATATAGTAAGGTTGATTCGAAGGTTTCGAGTTTTTCCGTTAAATTCCAACTGTGTTCCTGCTTCGATGATTCATCGCAAATAAAAAGGGATCCGTCAGTACTCTCCAAAATCTAAGAACCAATTCAAACAGCGATGTTTTAAAGCTGGAGTCGACCATCTAGGTGGTGACCTTCTTGTACAAGGGGTAATATTAATGGAAAACGTCCATATTGGGTGAAGAATAAAAAAATTGTGTTGGTGGAAACACAATTAACAAGTCTATAAATTTGCAGAAAAGGAACATACTATGTTTAAGGTATATGTTTGGATTGAGGACCTTTCGAAATAATTTTAAACAGGATAAACCAAGTGGCTCTTTTTCGATACAAAATACGAACCTGACCACACAACCCATATTAAACCAGATTGTTATAGAAAGCTCTCATCAGAACTACAGCTTAAAAATCACCTTTGATAGAACAATTAATAACAAAATCATTTAAATTTAAAAGTATTTAATGTTTCCTTAATATGTACATATAGTATATGTTATATATTCTTAAATATGATCAAAATCTTCAATCGCTGTCAAATCTGTGGGAGGATTACTGTCTCACATAAAATACGATAATCCTATTCATATAAATGATTTTTAAAAACCATATTCAAAGATTGAACAATTTTATTTAAAAGAAACAGGAAACCACATCAATATTTGCCTTTCGATTTTACGAGTATATAGTGTAAGTTATTTCCGAGATCCTTGAGAGCCTGTCCTTGACTTGTCAGGTCATCATACTTTTTGAGCAGCCAGAAGGTTGGTGAATATTGTTCTTTTGAAACGATATATTTTAAGCCGGGTAGAAAAGCATTACATATTGTATCTGGGGCGTAAAACTTTTTTTTTGTTTTACAAATTTCAATGTGTAAATTTTGAATAAGCAATACAGATTCCTGTTTTCTTGCTTGCAAGTTGATGACATAATGGATAACAACATATTTCTATACGAAGATGGGAATCTTTAGAAACCAACGTATTTTCAATCGGTATATTTTGGTTAAGCAATAGCGATGGGTAACAAATTTTTAGTCGAATATTGGATACTTCAAAAGCCACTTTTCGAAAGTTTCTGGGTCAGGCACTTTAATTTTTATACTCTTTACATGAAATGTACAGAAGTATATAAGGTTTGCGGGAGCTGAAAAATATAACAGGCACAAAGTATATATATTCTTGATCAGCATGACGAGACGAGTCGATCTAGCCCTGTCTGTCTGTCTGTCCGTCCGTCCGTATGAACACCTGGATCTCAGAGACTATAAGAAATAGAGACACCAAATTTTGCACAAAGATGCCTTATGTGTGTATTCTATACGAGTTTGTTTTATTTTTTTGATCCCCCCCCCATACAACTTCACCCTATGGGGGTTTTCCCGATTTTCCATTCGTATAATTGCCTATATCTCGGAGACTATAAGACCTAAGAACACCAAATTTTAGTCCCAGATGCCTTATGTGAATACGCAGAAAATGCTTGGAATTTCCCTCCCTCCCCCCTCTCCCATGCAAATCGCGATTTTCTCTAACTCCCGTAATTCTTGGAATTTCTAACTAATTTTGCAAATACCCCCAGTTAGTTATTATGTGTCAGTATGCCAAGTTTCACTATGATAGACCAATTTAACAAGAAGTTATAGCCATAAATATATTTGCTGCTGCAGCGCTGCTCAAGCGCTGCCCGCGGCTGTTGTTAATGTTGCTGTTTGGTTGACTGCTAACATGTTTACACAGGCACGAATAGATGCGCATAGGCATTCATACACTCACACGGACGCAATTGCTATGTAAATGTGAAATTATACACCCTTTACGTGAGTTCGAATACCAAGAAAGGTAAAATCGATCAAAATTTTTTTTTTTAATTTTCTTAATTTTTTTATTTTCTATAACTATTGTACAGAGTATTTCAAAGTCGGGACACCCGACTTTAGCTTTTTTACTTGTTTTTTTTTTTAACACATTTGATGTACATTTTTTAAAGATTTTTCAGGTTATTATATACTGCCACAAACTGAGCTTTATAGGCTATATCTTGTTTGTATTACCACACTTTATTATTTGTACTATTGCGCTGGCTCCAAGTATACTTACAAGGCCGCCAAATCACACTCAAAATACCTTTTATTTTGATCACACACTGATTCTTATCCTCGAGCATACTCATTATGGGAATTATATGTTCATGGACGTACGAAAAAAAAAACAGAACAATCGCATCCACTAGGGACTCGTTGGTGAAAATTGCCAATTTGCGAAATCGGAAACTTGTTCAAAATAACAAGAAAACATAAGAAAAAGGGAGTGCAACTACAAAGCGCGGGAATTTCCAATCGTTTTTACAGATTTTCCTCTAGCTGGCAAAAAGGAAAACACACACACACACATACACATATGAGCCGTCACATACAGATAACAAACAAATACCAGACAATTTTGCCTTAAAGCGCCGCAGCAACAGCAAGAGACCCAATAAAGTCTTTTATATTCTTTGTGCTGTGCATTTTCAATTTTCGACAACAGCAACAACAACAACAAAAGAAAAACACAAAGCCGTTTGACATTTTCCCAAAGACAGAGATGCATGCCGAAAATTTGAAAATAGGAATGCGGTTCAGCAGCAGAGCAAGGCTGAATCAGCGACCTTCGCATTCCCGTTCCCGTTCCCATTCGCATATGCATCGACCTTGACCGATGCGTCGAGTTCGTCGAGACAGACAGGCAGACAGACGGCCAGACAGTCGATATGAGTGGAAGGAAGAAAAAGGTCTTGTTTTTAAATTTGTTACTTCAGTATAAAATTGGTTTATTTTTTGTGCATGTACCTGTATTGTGGTATAAAAGTTATATAAAACACTAATACATATATTTGCTTAAATAGCTATTTATATCATCATGTACATTTGCTTAAAATATATAGAGATGCTTAGTCGCAGTGGCTATGGTTTTAACTTGGCACTTATATCTACTTTAAAATTAAGATTACATTAATTAATAGAGTCTGTGCTAGCTTCAGATTCTGAATCGTAAACTAACGCGTTATGCTATATACTATGTACATGAATAAGTCATAGATTATAATTAAGTGATACATATATCTACTATGTACAAAGTCTGTTTGGCGAGAATGAAAAGTTGTACGCTCGCAATAATAAAGGGTTAAGAGTCAAGTAACAAGTTCGAACTAAAAACAAAAGTCTTTAAATATTAATTAGAGGAGCGTGCGTTGGCGTTGGTCCTCGTGCTATGCTCATGGACCTCACAGGTCGTTCTCCTTCAACCACGACGACACCTCACACCTGTCCTCAACTTCCGATAAGGGCGCCCTCCTTGCCAAAAAAAAAAAAAAAAACAACAACAAAAACCGACTGACGTGTTTTACACGTGATGTGGTGGTGGATGTTTTCCGAATCTTTTTCGTACACGGAGTTGGACTCCGCGCTCACTTACTCTTCGTCGACTGTGGGGTGGCCGCCGATTGTGGCAGGGGGCTGGCATTACCCTTGGCCAGCGTCCCCGGAGTTGCGGCTGCCGTCAGGTTGCCCGTTGGCAGTGGCGAGGTCTTGGGACTGCTGGCCGCCGTCACGGGGCTGGGCAGCGTCACCGTAGGTAGCATGGGCATAATGGGCTTGATGCCGCCACTGCCACTGCCACCGCCGCCGCCCATGTTGCTGCCATTTGTTGCGCTCTTTAGCTCTTGCAGGTACTTGTTAAAGACTTCGTTGCCGGCGCGTTGCATGCGAGACAGTTGCTCAATGAAGTAGGCCTGATGCTGATAGTTGGTTAGCATGTTGCCCATTTGGGCAAAGTTGAAGAACAGATCGTTTTGGTTGGCGGCCGCTGCTGCTTGTACGGCCTTAGCATGAGCCTGGGCCACCTGGGCGCGCATTAGGTTCTCCGTGATGAACTGATTCAAGTCGAATTGCGAGGCAGAGGCGGAAGCAGCGGCGGAGGCGGCTGCGGCGGCCACAGCGGCGTTCGAAGCAATGCTCAGCGGTGCATTAACTGGAGGCAGACCACCCCGATTTGCAATGCCATGGGGCACATGTGGCAGGGTGGCGAGTGTGGAATGCGGCAACAGTTTGTTCGTTGGCTTCGCAGCCAAAGCTGAGGATGAAGGCGCTGTCGAGGATGCCGGTGTCGCACAGTTTTTGGGTGTCTTGCTGTTCTTGGCGGTGGGCGATGATTTCGGTGGCGTTGTTGTCTTGCCCATTGAAGGCACATTTGTGCCATTGGCCAGTTTTGGATTTTGATTTGGCGACTTTTTAGTGGGTGGAACCTTCTTGGCACTGGCATGCACCTTAACCGGCACGCCACTGGGACCGGAGTAGGTGCCAATGGTCACGCCATTGTTCATGCCGGCAAGTTGCGGCACTTTGTGGGCCTGTTCAGCAGTCTGGGAATTCTGGCGCGGCAGTATGGGACGGAACTTTTTGGTCGCTGGGTCGGACGAAGCGGTGGTAGTTGAGGAGTTGGCAGATTTCGGTGACTTATTCTCACTGGCCGTGGGAGAAATGCTGCCCATTTGTGTGGCGTTGCGTTTCTCCGGACTGGGCGTTTTCTTGTCCATCTGCGTGGGTGTCAACACCTGTTTAGGTGGCATGGCCTTCGAGGCACTGCCTGTCAGTGGTGTCGTAGGTGATGTCTTGGGTGGAGCTGTTGACTTGGACTCAGCCGAAGATGTTGTCTTGAGACCATTGAGAGGAGGTACTGGCGTCTGAGGTGCCGCCATCCGAGCCATCAGATGTTGAGGGGATGGAATGGTCTTCACGCTGCTATGATGCTGCATGAGAGACTGTGCGCTGGAGGTAGGCACCGAGTGCGACAGTGGAGGCATGGTGCTCGAACTGTGTGGCTGCTTTACGGGCGCGGGCGGTGAGAGACGTTTTTGTGCCTCCAAAGCTGCTGATTTGTCAGCGGGTTGATCCGGGAGCTTCACAATTTCGATGTAATTGTTCACGGGGCTCTTGTGTTTCGGATGCGAGCCATTGTTGGTGTTGCAGGCATCGCCATTATCTCGCGAAATAGTGATGGACAGTGAGGAGGGTATGTTGATGTTGCAAGAGTTGAGCAGTGATTTAACCTTAACCTGTTGCTTCTCGGGCGCATCCTCGCAGGGGCTGGGACTCCGTTCAAAGGGATATACACGCTTGCCTGCATTGCTGGAAGCAGCCTCATTTGTTGGTTGCTTCTCCTTTGGTGTGGGATTCGTGTTTTGATCCGTCTTCGTGGGTGGTGAGGGGAAAAGACCGGAGAGCGCACTGTTATTACCACTGAGTATATTTTGCAGATAGTTGGTCGTGTTGGCCGGCTTCGGCGTGTACTTATAGGTAGGCATGGTGGGTATGTTGTAGTTGGGAACGTACTGCGGCGAGCTGGGCGAATAGATGGGCGAGTTGGGTGTGTACATCGGTGTGCGGCAGCCAGGTGGCGCCTCCTTACCCTTCGATTTGCCGGAATTAAAGAGCGCCAGGCTCAAGTAGTTGTTGGAATTGTTTGATTTATTCGATTTGTTGCTGTTATTATTATTATTATTATTGCTGTTACTGTTATTATTGTTATTGGTATGCGGCGACTTTCCACCGGCATAGAGGTTCACCCCACGTCCGGGAGAGTTCTTTTGCCCGCCAGCGGCGCCGGTAGCCGTCAGTGGAGGTGGCGGTGGACCCATTTTGTTGGCATCCACTTTGGGTCCATAAACATGCTGCTTGTGGGCCCCACCGGCAATGGATTTGATCTCGGTGCCGGCATTATTCAGTAGCTTATTTACATCGTCGGGTATGTTGGCGAATGGGTTCGGACGTGCCGCCTTAGGCAGTATTGGCTGATAGCGCTTGGCAATAGGAGTACGATTGCCAGGAGCAGCCAATTGTACGCCCTGATGAAGTGGCGGTGGAGGGGGGAATTGCATTGCAGGTTGCTTGCGAGACGGGGGCACGGGTACGCGAGAAGGCGGTGGCATGAGTGGCTTATCGCTGCTCCTGCCTGCCGTAGAGATCGTTGTTGTAGACGTGCTGGCTGATGAGGAGGAGACAGAGGACCCAGGCGTAGGGGTGCCATTAGTATTTTTGCTACTGGCCGGCGTGGGTAAACGAATCTTGAAGTCCTCTCGCGGCAGCGGTGGCGAAAGTTTTGGTTTTTTAGATATTGCCTTCACAGGGTCTTTGCTCTTACGCTTTGACGAGGCTATGGACTTGGGTGGCATAGCAGTCGGTGGTTTCATCAACATCCTGTCCTCAACTGCACTGGGACTCTTCGTTTTATGAGTGGGATAGCTAGTTATTGGTTTCGGAGACTTATCCGGCACTTCTACCTTGAATTTGATGGGTGTCAATGCAAACGATTTCAGGAATTCCGACTTCGAGTCCTCTTCGCTGATGCCGCCAGTTACGCGTGGACTCAGTGTGCTTACACCATTGGGACTAGTAATACGCTCTGTGCGTATAGTCAACGGTGGAACGGTCAATGGACTGGGGCTGGGACTCTTGCGCTTGCGTTCAGAATGTGAACTCGGCGAAGATTTGGGACTTGGGCTGGGACTCTTGCGCTTGCGTTCAGAATGCGAGCTGGGCGAAGATTTGGGGCTTGGGCTGGGGCTCTTGCGCTTGCGTTCAGAATGTGGGCTGGGGCTCTTGCGCTTGCGTTCAGAATGTGAGCTGGGCGAAGATTTCGGGCTCCCGTCTTTGTCCCTCTTGCTCTTGGAGCGACTCTCTTTCTCTGGCTTTAATGGCTTTACAATTTCCTTGCGGTCAGGATCTGACATATTGATGATTGTCACGCTATTCTGCTTGGACAAATCGATTTTCAGCTTAATGTTGGGCTCATCTTTGTGCGAGGGGCTTGGCGAGCTGGCGCTTGTATTGTCGGCAGCGGATTTCTTTGCGGGTTTTGAGGACTGTGGTGATTGATTTTTAGACTCTGAGCTGCGCTCATGTTTTTCCAAAAGATTCATATTGATAACCAACTTGAGCGGCTCTGTGGGCGAGATGACACTGGGACTAGTGGCATTCGCGACTGGAGCAGGTTGCTTGGGCACAGTTGCGTTCTCCTCCAGATTTTTCGGCTTGGGACTCATTTGTGTTGGCATTGTATTGGGTGAGGATGGTGTCGCACATAGCTCTGCAGCGACAGATTCGGGGGCAGAAGCGATTGCGGGAATCGCTACAGCGCGACGAGTCGGTGGTGCTGGCTTCGACATCGATACCAGCGCCTTGGGCGACTCATAGACACGAAAGTAGAAACGCATGGGCGCATCACGTTTCCATGTGTAGATGTAGGCAATGTCCATGAGCGTGTAGTAATCGAGCAGTACGATCGTCTTCACCTTGTACATGATGTCGATGCTGAAGCGCTGCGGATCGATTTCAAACTTGTCGTACACGAACTTCTTGAGATGATTGACGCGACACATGGCGGGGCATTGAAGATAGCGCGGACGCAATTGATCTCCAAATTCGATCTCGGAATCTCCATTTAGCTCGCTGTGAATTAAAATAAGAAAAGCAATAGCTGCGATTAGTTGGTTGTTCAATTCAGGGATGCTTGCTAAAATGCTTATTCGTTCAAAAATAAATAATAGAGCCACCAAAATTGACTAACAGTTGAACACTTACTCTAATTCTGCGTATTCCAGCGAGAGCGACATATCATCCGATGGACCGAATATTAAATGCTCTGTATCATCGCCTCTCTGCTCAGGAGTGGCCAATGCCGCATCCTCAGGGCGATCCTTGTAGAACGCGCGTTTGCGCATCAGCTCGCGCTCATAGAGACCCGGCACGAGCTTGTAGACAATGGCTTGTAGCGTGGTATCCGATCTGGAAAGAGGGAAACATTTGTTAAAAAAAAAGTGCATTACATAATAACCATGTGCATGCGCGGTCAAATGGAAAAGACACAATCCAAGGGAGAGGTCTGGCTTGGTTTGGATATAATTCAAAAGGCGGCGAAACCGAGTCAAAATAAAAGTCAGACCTTTCTGCGCCATCCAGACTTCCCTTACGCATGACAATCTATCAAATGCTCACACACACACTCACGCATAGAGCAACACGAGCGCGCAAAATAGACGTAGACAAGCGTACAAATTAAGCAGCAGATGCAATTGCTTCAATGGAAGGAGCTGCTCAAGCGGTTCACAGCACACGCAACTTGCAAGAAAGGAAAGGAAAATCGTTTGAATAGCCCAACAACCCAGGAGAGAACGGAAGAGAGCGCGCGGCAAAGAAATTACGGCAACAACAACAACAACTGTGCCAGGTCGCAACCCAAAACGTGGCATGCGCTAAGACGCAGCAGTCCAGGCAGAGGCAGACCAGAGACATGCTCTGGTGGTGGTGGTGATGGCGCAATGAAGGAAGGAACTCGCATTAAGTCGCATTTCAGACTGGAACAGGATGGTGCAGAGGCGCTTGCCTCAATCATTGAAGAAAAGAAAAGAATAGGATGGAATATAAATGCGGGGCAGGTAATGAGCGAGCGCATTCGTACTGCGATGGAAAGGAACACCATTTACATAGGATAAACGAGATTTTAGTTCCCATTATGAGAAAATTGCATTACGACTTTGGGCAAATGATTTCCGAAATACAAATATGTATCCGAGTCCCCCCCTCCAACGCCATCTGATTATAATTATTGAATGCGGAACTAGAATAAACCGGGTTTCATTGTTAAACTCTTTTCTGAATGAAAACTCTATTCGGAATGGTTAAATATATTAATTACATATTTCGCTTAGGATGTAAAAACTTTGGGTGTGTGAAATCTTTTTGTAGAATAAAAGTCGTGCTGGCTAGCTCAAAGCATTCCCAGAAAAGTGAAGAAAACTTATTAAAAAGTAAACAACTTTAAAGGCAGCAACTTTTTATCAGATTATTGAGATCATTTTGGTTAAGGCTGGGTCTTACCCTTGACAAAAAGAAAATCCTAACTAGATCTAATAACAAATAGTTAAATATTCATTCCCATAACAAGAAATCTCGAAAAGTAAGGAAACTTTAAAGGCAACACTGGCCGCAATTGATTTTGGCAAAATATTTTATCAGATCATTGAGATCATTTCAGTTCAGGCTGGCTCTTACTCTTGACAGCAAGAATACTCCTAACTAGATCCTATAACAAATACTTAAATATTCATTCCCATAAAATGAAGAAGAAAACTCGTAAAGGAAACTTTAAAGGCAACACAGTCCGCAATTGATTTTATCAGATCATTGAGATCATTTTGGTTAAGGCTGGGCCTTACCCTTGACAGCAAGAATACTCCTAACTAGATCTAATAACAAAAAGTTAAATATTCATTCCCATAAAAAGAAGAAGAAATCTCAAAAAGTAAGGAAACTTTAAAGGCAACACTGGCCGCAATTGATTTTGGCAAAATATTTTATCAGATCATTGAGATCATTTCAGTTCAGGCTGAGTCTTACCCTTGACAGCAAGAATACTCCTAACTAGATCCTATAACAAATACTTGAATATTCATTCCCATAAAATGAAGAAGAAAACTCGTTAAGGAAACTTTAAAGGCAACACAGTCCGCAATTGATTTTATCAGATCATTGAGATCATTTTGGTTAAGGCTGGGTCTTACACGTGACAGCAAGAATACTCCTAACTAGATATAAACTCTATTCAATAATAAATATGCAATATGATTCGAAAACTTTAAGACAATTCCCCCAATTTCAACTCAACTTTGCTTTGCAAGTCAAACACCATTTAGAAAACTTTGTGAAATAGGTACGTTTTGAAGGGTACTCCCTAATTGAATTACCAAAAAAACAGAGGTCTTTAAGGCTACCTTTACTATACTCGCATTGTCTATGCCAACGGACGAACTAGGTGCGCTTGCCTAGATCGCTATCGTGTCTTCTTCTATTCCACCTTTTGTCCACGTCTCTCAGTTTTTGTTCCACCTCGATGACGTCGACTTCATAGCACGTACCATTCGCGACCGCAAACTCTGTCTCTGCCTGTGTTGGCAGAACAAAAACTAAATAGTCCTCCGTCCGCTCTGGCGCTGCCTTCTCTGGGCTTCGTCCGCGCTAGCGGCTTTGTTTGTGAGCACTTTTTTGTTGTTGTTGTTGTTTCCAGCTGCCTTGTGTGTTGCCATTGCCATGGCCATTGCTGTAGCTGCAGCCGTAGCTGTTGTTGTAGCCGTCGGCGAACAGAGCGAAAGACCCGCCCGTTAATTATCTTGCCGTTTTTCGATTTGTTTTCTTGGAAATGCGTGTCTCCGACGACGACGACGACGATGTCGTTGTTATTCGGTGGCTCGGCATCGTCCCAAACGTGCATTTCTCTTTTTGCGGAGTTTATCAGTTACATTTTTTTCACTTTTCTTTCTTTCTTTCTTTTTGCTCTGTACTTGGCATTGGGGTTTGGGGGCGGAACAATAAAAACATGGCCGGCATATTGTATTTGTTTTATTTTATACAAAAGCATTGAGAAGAGCTGCTGTTTTGCAATTGTAAAGAATAAAATATATACATATGTACTATGTATATACATATCTATATACATTTGTTACCTTTTTGGGCCTTTTCTGCTGCTGTTGCTCAGCTACTGCTTTTATTGTTGTCGTTGCTTTTGTTGTCTTCGTTGTGGGCTGAGCAATAAACTTTTGCAATAAATTTAATTGGAGACTTGAGACTGCCTGCTGCTGCTGCTGCTGCTGCTACTTCTACTAAAAATTCATGGCAGCGACGCTGTGACGAAGCGGCTGCCTGCAGCCATTTAGTGCGTCACACGTACAAGAAACACTTGTTTTAAGTTTTGCTGACGCTGCCTCAGCTGGCGGCCACACCAACATTTCACACCAATTGTGCTAACCAAAAAGGTTCAGCCATTCATACATACATATTTATATATATATGTACATATGTATGAACACACGTTCACCTTATTGCTTCCACTGCCACCAAAGCTAACCCAAGCGCGCGCTCTCTACAATCCTGCCGCCTTCACTCTTCAGCCAACTCCGAAACTCACAGCTTGCCCCGTTCAATGTGCCATTGAGCAGAACTCTGAATTTGTATTCATTATCTTTTTGTGTGCAGGCAGATTACAACCTGAATGAGCATCAGCCGCAGCAGCAGCTATGGCGGCGGCGGGTGGCATTGGCGGTGGCTTCATCATCAACAGAATTTTAATGGTTTGGGCGCCTGATTTGTATATTGCCAGGCATAGAGGCAGAGAGGCGGGCAGGGAGTTGTGTTTGAGTTTGAGTCGAGCCACCCAGACTGGCAGCGGCGGGTGGCTATTTGTTAGATACTCGTATACACATTTATTTTATTAAAGTTCCAGCTTAAATAGAGGCATTTCAATTTGCTTTTTCATTACGCTGAGGCGAACTAAAACGTGCGTACAGAAACGCCAACATAAAGCCATCCAGCCAGCCAGCACACAGTCAATTGAATAGCACAGTCTCGAATGTTTTCAGGCTCCAACCCACATACACACACTATATATCTATACCTATGTATGTATGTATGTATTTATATAAAGCTAACCACAAAAAAGTTATTGCCAGCAAAGTTTGCGCGCACATTTCGGTTAAGTTTAAGGTGGATGGATACAAGCCTCAGCTTATGCCCACTTAGACTTTGGGTTAGAAAGTTTTTGGCCAACCACAAGTGCTGCTAACAAAGTTGCACGTCATGTGGCAACTCCTGACTTCAGTCACACGCCATATCAAATCTTTCTGGTCTACAATCTGAACAGGGTTTGTTAATATCGGCATTGATGGCAATATTTTCAGAACTTGACAAATCGTGTTTGTTTTCAAAATCAGACAAAAATAACTCGCTTTCAAAAGAATTCAAATAAGATGGATACACAGATAGGGTGAGAAGCCTTTTAAGTCAAAAATGGAACTAAGATTCTTTATCTAACTCTATAAACTTATAAGAATTAGTTGTATGTAAGGACCCGAGACATACAAAATGTCAGCAGCCTTATAAGACAAAAATCAGAAGAAGATTCTTTATCTAACTCTATAAACTAACCCTTATACTACAAACTAACTCTTTACAGAAGATTCTTTATCTAACTCTGTAGCACACTCTTCAATGACTGGGTATGGCTACCAGTTAAGCTATCTCTATAATAGTTTAACTTGTCCGAACGAACGGCACAGCAATTCTGAATATGTTGATCGTTACATAATTATCCTAACACTAGTTACATGTCTACCTTTCTTTAACACTAACTGGAAGGATATGTTTTCCTAATCGACGCAATCTATCCAACTTTCTGCAAAGGCTCGTAAAAAGAGTTAAATGCAGGCTTAGCAGGTGTTTCTAAGAGCAAGAGAGAAGGGTTTCCAATCTTAATACTATACGATAGTATGGATTAGATTTTTGTACTTTTTTCTTAATGTCAACAATTGGATAATATCCAGTTTCAAGATCCTACTGTACCGCACAATGAGTGGTAAACATGCTCATTGAATTTAATTAATGGAGAAATACGTGCACACACACAAAAATAAGTATATAAGTAATATAGAAAGATCTTGCCTACATGTGTACGAGTGAGTATATTATCTTATCTAATCGCGATTGTCACTCTCGGGTACACAAAAACAGTTCTCAGTACTTACTTGATGTTCGGCTTGGCATTGTTGATGACCATCTCGCAGCGAGGACAGTAACGCTCCTGACGCAAATGATTAATGAGGCAACTGTGGCAGACTGGAAGAAAATAGAGAGAAGGCAGAGTATTGGTAAAAATGTAGCAGCAATTTATGGTATAACTGATTAAAAGGCAATGCCATTGATATGCGCAACAGCACTTAACATACAAATATCCAAATTAGTGAGAGCACAAAACCAAATAAATTCCACCTCAAGTACACACTACACGTTCATTGAACATTTGTACTCGTCCATCTAGATGAATTGTTGAGTACGCTCTGTACGTCAATGGTGTACAGATTTCCAATTGAAATGATTCAAATTTATGTAAAAGCTCGCACCGAATTGGTTGCCAATGCGCAACAATTCCCAGCAGCTAACCGTACTCAAAAATTGTTGCCGGAAGTTGGGAAATAAAAGGCAAGGCATAAAAAAAAGGAGGAAAACACACACAAAATTGCAGCCAGCATTGAGGAAAAACACCCCCCACACAGCTCTCCTTCGACTCCAGGGTTTATCCCACCCAAAAAAAAGAAGAAGAGGAAACGAAATCAAGCCAGCTAGCCAGGGCAGCCATTCAGTCAGCCTGCTAGCCTGCCAGCCTGCCAGCCCGACAACCGACAGACAGCCACCCACGGCATAAGGAAAAACCTTTAGGAAAAATGCTGGAAAAAGTTGTTTTGACTTTAATGTCAATGCCAGTGTCTGCTGTTCTCTGTCTGTCTGTCCTCCGTCTGCCCGTCCTGTTCCATGCCCCTCAGCTCTGTTTGTTGCGTTACACGCTGCACGCTACACGGTACACAACTGTCACCCAGAGAGTTTCGACCGCCCGGTTGTTGGTTCGTTTGTTGGTTATTCGCTTTTGGCCAGGCTGCCGCAGCTTCAACATGCGCGCGCCTGTTACGCTTGTCAGTCAGACGTTGTGCGTCCCCACCACCAAAAAAATAAGATGAACAAGATTTACTTTGAAACACCGCAGATTTTGTACCCTTGGAAATGCCATTTCCGATTCATAAAGGACATTTCATTTAAATGATTTCGTCCACAACCATATAGGAGTATGTGCATATATCCGTAAAATGAACAATCATTTTATTGATTAATCATTCCGATAGTAGCCAGAAAATGTTTCGACTGAACTTGATACTGAAAAATATTTGCAATTAAGGAACTCAATAATTTGCACACAAATTTGAAGAAGAAAACTACATATTTATTTTAATATTCCAAAAGCTATATCTAGTCATAAAATAGTAATGAAATTTACAAAATTTATTGTGCAATTATACCTTTAGGTGAATTAATAATCTACAAATATGTTCTTGAGTGTCTGATCATACCTTTAGGTGAATTAATAATCTACAAATATGTTCTTGTGATCAGAATTGAAGCTAATGTTGACCGCAAATATATGCAAAACAAAAAACGAAAAATGTCGAAAGTTTAATATTTCCACATAGATAAGAGGAAGTTCATTTCAAATCTGTGCCATTGTGGCAACGCCACGTCGGCAAGTTGGCAGCACCTTTCTAAATTAACCATAAGAGGGCAAGAATAAATTGCCCAACAAAGGTCAGCTGAAAAATAAAACTAAAAACAAGTCAGTTGCAATATTCATTTTTTATAGAAATGCCTGCAAATATTATTATATTAGTTGGTGCTGCCACATACGCAAAACTTTGGAAAATGGGCAACACTAGTATTCTATGTTGTTGTCAACTTCTTAACAGACAGGTCAGATAAATTAGCAAAAACATTAGAAAGCGAAATCGTGGCACAAACACATCAATTATTTATGGGTACGAAGATGCTCGGTGGGGTAGATGTTAGTTACATACGACCTTGTTTTTGGCAAGAGTATACAAAAAGGCAACAGTACCGTGTGCTGGTCTATTTGAGTGGGGTGCAAAAAAACATACGGAAAAAAAAAAACCAAACAGGAGGAGAAAATTTGTTGCTGCCGCCAAATGGCCTCGAGTGCAGCAACACGCAGTGGCAACGGCGCGGCGGCAGCAACACGAAAAAAGCTACACTCTACAGCTGTTGCTGGCATATATTTAACTGCTCGGTACAAGCTGCAATGGCAGTTTTGGATAAGTCGAGTCGAGTCAGAGTCAGAGTCGACTGGTCTGCTGCTGCTGGCTCGACTGGCGCAGGCCAACGACTGTCTGTTTGACAGTTAGATGGCACTCTCGGGTGTGCTATATATGCATCGTGTCTGTCGTTCCGTTGGTCACTCTGTCTGCCATTTTTGTGTACATATATATACATATGTGTGTGTGATGCTGTGGCTACTTCGAAACAGATTTAAATGAGTTTGACCATAGGAATGCATTCACATCAACACATTGGCTCTCCGATTTAGTGGCGGCTGGCTGACTGGCTGGCTGGCTGGGCAGGAGCGAGCATTTCAAATGGGTGGAAAATGCAGCACCACATTAATAATGGATATTGCATGGGAAAGTCAATTTTGTTGAGAGTCGCCATGAGATATAATCGGCAACTAGCCATTCCATATATTAAGTTGATTTATGCAGCGCTACATGTACATATGTATATTTCTAATGCAGCATTAAAGCACTGAGTTCTAGTATCTGATTAAATCAACTTTGAAGATGCATTCAATATTCGTTTGACAATAAATGTAATAAAATGATAGGCAAATAAACTGAATAATCAGATGCAAAACTTTAATTACATGTTTTCATTTTCATACAACAAATTATGCTCGATACTAATCTACTTGTATCTATGTTCGTCTTAAAACACTTTCTAAATTAGATCCTCATTTAGAATCATAAACTTATCGCAAAGCAACATCTGTGTCTTTATTGCGGCAAATTGTTTATTTCTTAGAACGCCCCATTTCAATGCTAACAGCCATAATTCATGGGCCGACACAATTTTGCAAAGTGCCCAGGAAGAAGACTTTTCAGAACGTATAGACAGACAGACAGACAGACAGACAGTACATATATAGATATGTATGTATGTGTTCGTCGTGCAGGCGGAAGGCAATGTGCCAAACGCGATGGCATTCTAATTAAGCCAAACAGCAACGAGTTTGAAGCACAGCCAGGCAGCAGCCGAACTGATAGATGGATGTGGTGTTGCTAGCAGTAGATACATAGATACTAGATACGCACAGAGAGCTGCAGACATGCACTCAGCCAAATAGCCATGTGGTTGCATGTCAACTATCTACACATAGTCCGACTTGATTTCACACCACACTTGACTCCACCAAACCGCACCAGAGGTGTTCAATTTCTGTAACTTCGCTGAACTAGTGATTAGCCTGATCGACAAGGCTTTCAATAGTAGACTGCCGATAACCGAACTTCTCAAATGTTCGTAAAAGAGTAAACAATCTGCAGTCGAGTCTCAATAAACTGAATTTGCCTTAAAAAAATATACGGTTTTGAGATGAAGATCCAAGAAAATATCAATAAAAAAATTTGTCTTTTAAATTCTCAATATTAATCATTTTCACTAAAAAGTTTATATACATAAAGGTAATAATTTAACTGAATAGAAAAAAATAGATTACTGCATAGGCATTTGAGTTATGGTTGATTTGAATGGGGGTTTTGTGCCTAGACTTTTATTTATTTTGAAGGGCCCAACGTTTGAGTTTGCTGCAAAAACAATAAAAAGTAACAACTAGGGTTGCTAAAAAACATCGATTTATAATGAAATTCGATGGTTTCCGATGTTTTTTGAACACCGAAGATCATTGATGTTTAGGCAAAAGCATCAAAAGTCTAATTTTAAATGGAATTCAAAAACAAACGGAATGTTGTTGGTCACTTAGGAATTAAAATAATACATATATAAATTCCACATAAAAAAATGGATTAATCGATTTTTTGTAGGGATTTATCAGAATACAATCGATGGCACTCGATTGTGTGAAACATAAATGCTTCGTACTTTATTTACAACCCTAGTATAAACAAAGATCCTGTATCGTTCATTACGGTAATTAGGATATTTAACGATATTGAATAGCGAAATTTAAGTAGAAAACGATATCAATTTCGATACCCATTTTAAGTTTTTATCATATACATACATATGTATGTATATAAACCAGTTCATTGAACTGGTTAGTAAATAATGAGTTGGGACCACTTTAATGCAGTTTCTGGTACTTACATGAGTGCAAACATTCGACTATGGTTGTTGCATTGATCAGATAACCCTTACACAAGTGGCAGATTATGTGCGGATTGACGGCAGTCAACAGAACGGGGCGTGGCGTTTTCATTGATGTTGTTGTTGTTGCTATCTGGTTAGTCTCCGCCATAGTCTTATTGTCTGCATCGTTCAGTTCCTCATCATCCGCGGCACTGCTACCGGCATCTTCCGATTGCGCTGACGACACTGATGATGACGTTGTTGTTGACCAGCCGGATGACGTTGAAGCTTCTGACAATTGTGAAGAAGTCTGAGCTTCGATTGCCGTCTCGTTAACAGTTACATCTGGCTCCCCTTTCATGATGTTGTTGTTGCTGCTGCTGCTGCTGCTGCTGTTGTTGCTATTGCAGCTGCTGCTGCTGCTGTTGCTGTTCAAATTGTTGGCTAATGGTGTTTCTATTGTTGTTGCTGCATTTTTGCTTTTCACTTGAATGCTGTGCACGGCAAATTGTTGTTGTTGTTGTTGCTGCTGCTGCTGTTGCTGTTGGTGTGAGTCTTGATATTGCGTCGCTTTTATTTGCACTTTATCAACACTTGTCGCTGGCAACGCCGACAGTTTTGTTGCTTTTTCTGCTCCCATTGTTGTTGCTGGCGCTGCTTTTTGAGGCACCGCGAGCTTTTTAGCATTCCCGGAGCCGTGAATGTTATTATTGTTGTTGTTGTTGCTATTTTTATTGTTGTTGTTGTTGTTGCTATTATTATTATTATTGTTCTTGTTGCTACTGTGGGTATTTGCATTGCTGCTGACAACGCTGTTTGTCGCTGCCGGCGTTGCTGGCTTTGCATTCGTATTTGCGATTTGCATTGCAGGCCCATTTGTTGCCAATGTTGACAATTGTGCTGCCGGCTTTTGTTGTGTGTTCGCCATTATTGTCGTTGTCGTTGTTGTTGTTGCTGCTGCTGGTGCGCCTACCGTTATTGCAGTAGGTGTTGTTACTTTTGCTTTCGACTCTGGCGTCATCATTATACTCGTGCTAAATTGATTTTCTGCAATGGTAGAGAAATAGATACATATACTTTAATAAACAATTAAATTATGTATTGGACCTAAATGGAATTCACTTTTCTTATTAACATACAACTTCTAAAGTTAAGTGGCTACGTTTTAAAAAGTAGAACCAAAACTAATTAATTGCGGTATAAACTATATTTATCTCTGGATTACAATTCCATGACATACTTCATATAATTTGCCAGAATAGTTCAACTGATCGTGATATGAATAAATAGTCAACATTTTTGTTTTGTGATTGTCAACATTTTTGTGCAAATAGATAGATAGATGATATTAAATCTACAAATTTGAATGAACTTCTCAGGATTAGAATAGTAGAGTTTTTCTTTACGAAATGAACCCAATCTCGAAAGGCGCCCTCTCAAAAGACCAATAAGTTTATAATAATGGTTTTACTGACTCCGATACTCTCGGTAATTTAGTTTATTTCGATTTTTTAAAGATTACTGCATTTGTTAAAGAACATTAATTAATAAAGTCGTTTTACTTTGATGTAATCTTAAAAATCAGAACATTTATTTATATTTAACCTCGTTCACTATTTAAGAGTGTATTATAATCTTTAATAAGGAATGTTGCTACTCATGTTCAGCCTTATCTATAATAGTTGAACGAGAGAGAAACTTCGCTTCTGCATGCAAAGTTGCGAAAGTCGGCGAGAAGTCAGCATTCAAATGAGAAACCACGCAAGGGGGATAAAAAGAAAATAAACAGTTACCCGCAGCCGCATAAACAATTCATATGGCGCTGCTTGATGACCATTTAGAGACTCCTCAAGTTGAAACAAAGACCGACATTACTGACGAGAGGAAGACGTATTCTTAATGTGCCCCACCGGTGTCTGCAATTACATTTCAATTAAATATTATGCTGAATGTGCCACATAGAGTGGGGAGTACTGGTCCAGCACACCTAATTTTCTCACTCATATATTATACATATGTATAAGTGGCTATAAAAATGCACATCACTGTACAAATTTTCACTGGACTGAGTAATTGAGAGAGAAAATTGGGTAATCATTGCTAAGAACAAACATAAAACAATGCATACATGCAAGTTTATACATATATGTACATACATACATATGTACATATGTATGTATGTACATGTGTCCATATGAAAGCTATTATGTACATTGAACGGATGTAAAGAGCTATGTGTCGATAAAGCGATAAGGGCATCGTTGTCATGGGAGTTATTATTGTCCATCTACATATATATTTATGTACATACATACATACATACTTATATATAGCGAATGAAGTGCATGACACCCGAGAGAGCATTGCAATGGGGGAGGAGATGGAGTCAAAAGATGGGTGATGGGCAAATGGAAATGGTTTTAAATTGTACAAAAATATTTCAAACATTTTCAAGTTGTTTTTGCATCAACGCGCCAGTGAAAAAGTTTTGCAAACTTTTTCCGAACAACAACAAGTGCAAATGCGCGAAAACAGTCAGACAAGCGCTCTTATATTTTTTATATGCACTATATGTATGTACATAATTTTTATATGTGTGGTGCGGTGCATGTGTGTGGAGGAATATGAATAAATGTGAAACGAATGCCAGGCAGTGGAGAGCCACCAAGGCTTTAAACGAAATCCTTTTACATAAATTTAAGTGTTTGTTGGTGCGTTGCTGGCTTTGCCAAACGTACAAGGGCTATGAGTGGCGTGCTGTTGACGACGACGACGACGACTACGACAGCGAAGCTGAGACCGCCAGCACATGACGTAGCCAAGCGGCAACACACACAAACACACACTAACACTAGCACGCTCGCAAACAGTGGAAACGTCGCACACAGGCGGCGACCCAAGCTTAACCCTTCCCATGCTCATTGCCCTGGCAGTGGCATAAAAACACGCCAGTCAGGCAGGCAGCGAATCAGCAGAGTGCTGAGGAAGAGGGGAGAGCGGAGCGCGGTGTGCAGCACTGACGCAAAAAATGTGAGTACCGAACATGAAAAGGATAATAAAAAGCAGCGGAATTTTGTGTTCCAAGAGCGCTGCGAGCACGGCAAAAGCGACTGTGACAATGCGCTACGGAACGAACGTAAGTATACAGTGCAACTTCAAAAAAGAACTTACAGGTTAGGGATAAGTCGATGTATTTCTACCTCTACTGGAGTAGAACTTGTTCCTCTTTACTTGTTAAAAACCTCTTTGAAAATCAAAATCAGGTATATTCGTAAAGTTCAAAAGTATTGCCAAATTCTATTTATTGAAAAGCAATGAATGCTTAGACCAAAAAATATTTAACTTCAAAATATAAAGTTTGAAGCATAGAGAGTTGAAAACGTTTAAAAAAATATTACTCTAATTTGTATACAATTTTATAAACCATTTAAATAAAGTATACATTAATGAAGTGCACTGTACTGAGCACTAGTTGTTATACATAAATAATGCTGAGAATGCAGACGGCAAGTTGTTGTTGCTTTGAGTACGGGACCCGCACACTCGGTGTAGGGTGCGCAGCCTTATCTCCTGTTTCACACAAACACACACACACATCCACGCACATGCCGAGCAGAGCGACCGCTTTCATTCAAAAATTTCAGCAAGAACGACAACAACAATAGCAATGGAAATAAGAAATAATAAATGAAAATTGTACGAAGCATGCAACAAAATAAAATACGAGAAAATCAGTGGGTACACAAAAGACACGGGCACGGGCACGGGAAAGGACGAAGATTGGAGAACGAGGCTGAAATGCTCGTACCAATCGAAACGTACATTTGGGGTAAGTTGTAGTTGTTGTTGTTCCTGCTGTTGCTGTTTTTGTGTAAGCGCGGCTGCTCTTCTACTGAATCACAGACCCAGGACTGATTGTGCGCAAAAAGGGCGGGAGGGCTGGCAGGCAACTGTAGATACGAATTTGTGTGTGTGTGTGTGTGTATGTGTCCGTATATAAAAGTGTATTTACGTGAGAGTTAAGAAGATGGGGAGAAGGGCATCCACACAACAGCTGTGCGCGCGCTGTCACTGCCAGCAGTGTTGAAAAATGTTGCTAAGGATAGCACTCAAAGCAAATTGGCAGCCGGCATCAGCAAGCGGTTTTATTTTGTATTTTGGAGCGAAAGCAAATCGCGCCCTTTATTCATTATGAATTAATTTTATTATTAATATACATTTATTGATTAATATAGGCTAAGTAATAATAGTATAAGTAATAAATAATTTGTAGTGGTATTTCCTCAAAGGCAACAGATGAACTTATCCAAGAGCGGCTGTCATGCACATTAATATTAAATTATTTTTTACCTGTAAATAAATGAAGCTGCTAATCCGAAGTGCTATGCGACATTTCGTTGGGTTCGGCTTTAATCCAATACAATAGCTTTTTAGGGCATAATCCACACATATAAGTGCTGTGTTAATCCAAAATGCAATAATTGCAGTTGCTGTTGTTGTTTTATTATGATATTCCGAAATGCTGGTGGTTTTGTTGCTGCTTTTAATTTAATTGCCGATCTTATGAACTTTCACAATTTTACACACACATAGACAAAACTTGAGTAGTAGTAGTAGTTGTGTTGTTGCGCTACTCGTTTAATTAAATTTTCTTTTTTTGCTTTTCTTCAGCTGTTTGCGCTACGTTTTACTTCTTTTCCTTTACACTATTTCGCTTCACTCTGTGCCGCTTCTTTGCGTTTTATTTTCACACAAGCACTCGCACAAACATACACATACACAAACGCGCGCTAGCTGCGGCTGCTACTTTTGGCTATTTGCTTTTATGCGCACCTTCATTGTATATTATGCTTTGCACTCTATTTCGTGCACTCACACTCTTACGCGAGCACGACACGACGGCGTCGCCGACTGCGGAACGTTTTATATAGGCGTGTACATAAGGCAAGCTGTCGTTGCTTTGGTCGTTGATGTTGGTTGTTGTTGTTGCGGCATTTCTCATGCACGAGACACAAAGGAAATTTCTAGTTAAGAACCTTGTTACACTACTTCATAAATGTATTTTGTTGATTAAAATAATAACAAAACAATTATATTAAGCTGCAGCACTTTTCTATATCAACATATTCTTCAGCATATTCAACTAATTTTAGTGCACTTTTCTGGATAATTTGTTATTAATTAAGCAAATGTGAGGCTTCGTTCGTAATGCGATAGCACGTCCACACGCTTCAATGTTTCGCGTTCAACTGAATTTAGGCGCCACTGCTGACTGCTTGCTTGCCTATGTAGAAACTCGAAGCGCTGCAAATGCTATATATTCATATATATATACATACACACACATTGGCTTATTTACTTCGGCCAACTGCCTGCCTCTGCTTTGACGTTTTCGTTTTCCTTTTTCACAACTGCGCGCTCAGTGGCTACTCAATGCTCGCTGCTGTCTCTATCTCGCTCGCACACACATCAGCTTATTTTGCGTTGGGCGTACAACTATTGCGCTCTCGCTTTCACATATGCACTGACGGTTGCTTTGGCCTTCTGCTTTATTTGCTTGTACCGACGGCTTTTTTATTCGTCGCTCTCTCAGCCGAACTGCTCGGTTCGACGTACTTTTCGCACTGAATTGGATTTTGTTGATGTTGCTGTTGTTCTGCGCTCTGTTGAGTTTCTCAGCGTTGCTGTGGTGCGCTGCTTCGCCCTCTGCCGGCGTTGCTGTTGGCTTTGGATCGTTTTGCTTTGACTGCTGTTTCTGTTTCTTTGTTCGAGCAACATCATTTGTGTGAAAGGAAAGGGCTGTTGTTTGTGCAAGCGATTATTCGACGACGACGACGACGACGGAGAAGCTCGTATCCGCAGTTGGCCTTTATTTACAAATCAAGCATATACATAAGTATGTACATATACACACATATGGATATATGTATGTACGTATGTCCATGCATACATAGTGTGATTCTTTTGCGTGATGTTGATAATTGAGTTGGCGAGGGTGTGTGGATGTATTTACTTCAATTCTGCTTTGTTCTTTTTCTCCCTGGACAAAATATACAAATGCACACACATACATACTATGTATATGTATGAAGACGTACATATGTATGCGTGTACCGCTGCAGTTTCTTTAATATGTACATAGTACATATGTATATGTACATATATGCTGATTTATTATTTACGTACAGTAAATGAGTTGCAATCTGTATATACATATATAATGTATATACATATGTATATGTATGACTATACCATAAGTAGATACATATATATGGGTTGAACACTTTTTCAGCCATTTTTAATAAAGTATAATCAAATAACGTCAAATCAAAATTGGTAAATGTTTTCAATGCTGAAAAAATTATCGAGTTTTTTTAAAGCGGCTAATATACAGAGAGTTCTAGGGTGTTGAGGTTTTCATTGACCATAAAGGAGGCCATTCACATGCGAATTTATCCGTCGACAAAAATTTCAATTTGCCAACTAAATGAGCCCAAAAAAAAAGACGAGAAAGCACTTAAAAATTGATGTGGAAAGTAATACAGTCGTGGCATTGATGACAATAAAAATTTGATGATTTTTTTATTAATAATTAATTTTTTATACAACTTCACAAATATACATATGTATGTCCATATGCATATTTCTTCATTTTCTTAGAAACTGAGTTGTTCTTGGTCTTGAAAATAATATTCCACTTTACGCAATTTAAATTACCTAGAAATGCGTGATTCTACCGTTTCTTCCTATTTTCGCCTCACACATACGAACAAAGGTTAATACTTGGGAGAACCTTGAACCAAATTCAATTTTTTTCCCGGTTCTGGTATATACCGAACACTAAACTAAGCTAAGTTTATTTCTTAACACAATACATAATTTTTATCTGTAATACTATATAATGTATTTATTTTGAAACCAAACTAAACACTTCATGTACATACTATATTACAACCGATAATATTCGTGGGCTGTAGCACCTCGGTTTTCTTGAAGCTTCTTGGCACGAGTCATCTTATTTGTCATATATTAATCGAAATAGTGCCCTATGTCAGTTAATATGATAATGGGTGTAGCCAGGGTTTCACCAAGTAATATGTTTTGTTTTTGTTTTTTTTTTCAGTCGTACAAGGCAGTGACTCAACAATACTCAGAGCGGTATTAATGCTAGGGCAGAAAATTCTAGCCTCTTTCTACACTTCTTAAAGCTCTACCTCTGACATATTGACTTATTTTCTCATTGCATAACTTGTTACATAACTCGACATCTTTTGAAATTTTTTGAAACTCTCTGCTTTCAATTTAGTGTTCAATATTAGACTTAAGCATATTTTAAGGATGCAACAAAGTTCACAGAATCTATTTTTGAAAGTTGTGTAAAGCGAGTCAACATACAGTATAAAAATTTAGCTTTTCCAATGGTCAATAGTTTTGTCTTGAAACGAATCTTGGAATTTTCATATCAATACCAATTTTGCTTCCAATTTAATCCGCATTAAATAAAATATTTTGTATTATTTCCGTAGCATTTTCGCGTTATTGCTGAAACTCAACCCATGAATATGATAATCTGTTCCAACACAAGAAAATCAGTTAATAAAATCGGCTTCTTCAAAATATGTAATACTTGTATCTGTTAAATCTCTGGATTTTAATCGGTTTATTAAGAACCTTAACTGATGAACAATACGCGCTAAGCATATAAATAAAATGTCTATTGACATCTAGAGTCAAATCATCAAATCTCAAAATATTTGTTGCAAAAATTGGCCCGCAATGTTCTACAAATTAAAGGAATGTAATTAATTTACAAAAAAAAAAAAAAAACATCTTCATTTGAGGGGATCACTTGTTTGCGCCTGATTTAGCTATGTCCGATTTTATTTATGTGTCCCAAGGTCTTGACACGATTGAGAAGATTCAATCCGAATCGAATAAGTTACTGAAGACTATTCCGGAAAAGGAGTTTTCAGACAGCTTTAAGGATTACAAGAGCACTGGCATGGCCGTAGCGAGGGGGGTGCAAAGCGGGCAGCTGATTTTATCGAAACCTGAGGCAATATATATTAAAGCGACTAATTTTAGAATTTTATTATCTCTTAAAAATAGTTTTGGTTTAACAGTTCAGAAAATGCAGTTTCAGTTCTGAACTGTCGAAACAAAATAATTTGAGATTTCTTTATTTGCCATAACTTTCTTTAGATAACTGCTCCGACCCCAGATACGGATCCAATCCATGTTAGCTTGTAAAAAAAATTCTGTTCAACTGAGAAGCATACGAATTTATTTTAGAAAATTAACTAGACTTGATACTATAAATTGATTTACAAACTGAGAGCAGCACACTTTAGAAAAATAGCATATTTTTCTCTCCGTTTGCACGCCTTTTTATTTAATTTAATTTTTTCCCTATTTTTCCATATTTTTCATTTTTTTTTTTTGTATAGTGCAAATAATTTGATAGTAAAAAATTAGCAAAAAAAAAATGTTGCCCCCCCCTGGTCTAAATCCTGGCAACGCCCATGAGCACTGAGATTATTTAAAAGGCGAAACAATAACAATAACTTCCAGATCATATTTCAATACAGTGGTAAAATGAAATGAAAATGAAATGGGGTTTTGCGGGTCAAATATAATATAAGATACCAAATAGCTAGATTCGTATTTTAGATTAACAAACACATGAAATGTATATTTCTTTGCTTGAAGTCCGTTCAAAATTTGAATTATAACGGTGTGTTTTTATTTGCTAAATATCTTTCACAGACATATTGTCTAGTGCCAGTTTTGGGTCCAAATACTCGGTTTATGAATATTATTTCCCAATAATTAATTTCGTTTAAGACATACTTCCGTTTCAACCTAATTTCATTTCGAAATTGTCTTCGGAGTGGCTAGCTATACCCATGGGACAACGATACGTCCGCCCCGACAGTCTGATGTTGAACGATTTATTAAATAATATTGCGTGCTATTTTCGTCCTTCGACTGGCACAGCATTCTTAAAGTGCTGAAAACTTGGTGGTCGATTGCATGTCACTTACCCAAGAAATTTCTATAAATATAGTCAATGTCAATAGTTGGAGACTTATTGATTAGGAAACGCAATACATACTTACAAAAAATGTGTTTTTGTTTGTAGATTTAGACGTAATGAAATGAAAGTTATACTTTAAAAATAGTCATCCTGCCAAATGTTTATATATCTGGATTCAGAATCTGTATTCGCAATTCTCTATTTTACTTGGTAGCTAAATATACTATCAATCTACAAGTTTTTGAGTTAGTCCTTACATGCTTATAAAAAATCTATATTTGTTATTTTTTATGCAATTACATACTGCTTTCAGAATTCAGTATTTTTCTCCACTTTTACGACCAATTCTAATTCCGCCAATACCAATTCAATGAGGATAAGATAAAAACTATTTCAATAAACCATTTTAATTCAATACTTGTCTTTGATTGAAAAAAAGGAGACCGTACAAACATGAATCTGCTTATAATAAATGTATACAATATAGGTCATACTATAACATCTCTTTCTGTTGTGGGATCTATTTGGGAGCGAGGAAGCTGAGACTTGGACACAGTATAGGTGAGCACTATGAAATTTTGATTAATTCGAAC